GTTCTGAATTTAAATATGCGTAAATATAAAAAAAAGTTACAACACTTTAAGGAACCACAAGAAAACATGCCGCATATCTTTGTACTTTAGTAAAATTTGATATTAATCATTATTGTTCAAAAACTAAAAAATATATTTTTTATTTAAAATATAATTCAGTTATTGACATTATTAATATTTTCCATTAAAACTTATCAGTTTTGATATTTTATTAACAACTATCATACGATATAAATCTAAAAAAATAATTACAAGATAATATATGTTTATATTCTTTTTTAGTTATTAACAACATATACACACCCTATAGACACAACTATTCAAACTCAAGACTTTTAAGAGAATGACACTTTGTTTAACCACTAAGATCACTAGGTGGATTCAAACTATAACATTTTAATTAGAAAGAAGACATTTTAGAAATATAGATTGAATTTCAATCATAATTAAGTACAAAGAGTAGCAAAGCATTTTGCTTCGCTACGAAACCACAAGAACATGTAGACGGGCAGATCCTTGAAACGGAGGCAGCGCACTTGGAGAGGTTTTAATGGATGGGCCAGACCTTACTAATTTGTCATGAGAAGAAGGTATTGGGGGCAAAGGTAACATGGCCTTCATGTGCGTACCCCCAAGTCATTTTGTTCCACCCTATGAAAATGGCTACTCACTCCCACGCCTGCTTTCGGTGATTCCATTGGACCCACGTCCGTATTTGCATGCGTTCTTCAATTTCTCATCCTCCCAAGTTAAGTACATTTCAATCACACAATTACATGGTTTCGCTTCTTTTGGTCACCATGACTTCGTCTTTGTTCAGATCCTTGCAGTGATAAAAAGGTGTTATTCTCCTTACAGGATTCAAATTTGAATAGTTATGTTTGAATGGTATGTTTGTTGTTAATGATTAAGAAATACTATTGACAAATATTAACTTGTAATCATTTTAGGTTATTCTAAAAAAATCCGAATTAATCGTTTTTAGTTAGAATGTATTGATTTTAACCAAAAATGAAATTAAAATGAAAAAGAAAACTCTTCAATTTATTTGGGCTGTTAGATCTGAACCATAGAACATGGGGGGCAAGAGTGAAGACTGAAGAGAGAGAAGCTGCTGCCTGGATCATAAGAGTGGCTATTATTCATGCAAGGCTAGCTCATGGACCACCATAATGAACCAGCTGACTCCTAAAATATAAAGATATGTTCCAACAGATCATCTTCAACAAAACAACTTCCAAATTTATCACATTATAATTCACTATTCTAATTACCTTAAATCTTTCTTAATAATTAATTTTACATATTTACTCTACCACATGATAGTGATCAAGAAAAAGTAAGTCAAAGAGTAAGGGGACATAGGATTTTATACTAAAGATCAAACTTATAAAATTTTAATAGAGGTTGAACTTATAAAATTCTAAAAATATATTATCAATAAAAAATAATCTAAAGTATATGATACTTTGAAATTTTTATGGAGACGACTGGCACAGCCGCCCCCTGATCCAACTCTTCGGCGAAGAGTCACTTTCTAGCTCACTACAACAATGGAACAGTAACTTCTCTTTATAGACTAGATGATAACTATAGCCAGCCATATATGTGGCAGCTGGATGAGGGTTAATTGCTTCAAATTCCTAGTTTTATAAATGTAAACGTGATGAATATGAGTTCATCTGTCAGTTGAACAATCAATAATATCTTGATAAATATTGAAGTTTGAATATAAGTTATAATCTTATCTAATAAATTATTTAAACGTATCATTTTATTATAAAAAACAAATAATAAAATAAAATATATAAATACAAGAGGATAGTGACATGCATTTATCAGTTTCGTGATCAAAATAGGGAGTGGGAAATTGGAGATAAGCGAAAAAAGGCAGATGAGACGATGCATGAAACAGTGCAATAGCATCTTAATCATCTATATGGGACATGTAATGAGATAGATGATGAAATGATTTGAGCCGATAAGGGCTTTAAAAAAGAAGCAGAAATGTTAGGACGGACGTACATGCATGTGAATCACTGCTATTGCATATCTGACAATCGATTCTCAGAATTAAAAGCTCAGAAATTTAGTAGGCGTGAAACTCACAGCAGCTTTTGTTGGTACACTATCAGTACATACTGCATATATATTTAACCTCCTAAACTGTTGTACCCATCAGCAAATATTGTTTCGTTTCTCATATAGAGCATCAACATTTTACTGCAGTGAACGTAACACATTTCCAACCTAAAGGAATAAGTCGATGATAAGAAAACGAAACAGGGTAACTGGAACCATCCAATGAGTAGCTCCCATCCTCCTTATAATCCTAAGCCATCTCAGAACTGTTACCATGGCTCTTCAAGCTATAAACTATAGCCATACAACCAACAGCTCTGTCATTATTATCATGGATTTTAGGGCCACCATGGATTCTAGTATGGTTTCCAACCATAGTACCTTTCCCAACAAATGTTCTATCAAAGATCTAGCTCTTATAGCATGCCCCAAATAACCGGTTAAATGTTCAAACAGGACGAACGCAGTATCTCATGTTAAGGGGTAAACTTTTAAAATTTTAAGAGATACCGAACTTATAAAATTTTATAGATGAAAACATATTATTAATAGAAAATATAAAAAAATCTAAAATATATGATAATTTAAAATTTCTAAGAGAGCGACTACCCGCAACCCCTTCCTAGCCCATCCTTGTACATAATGATAAAAAAATCATTTCTTTATTTTATTTTTATTTTTTTCTTTCTATTTTTTCACTCAATCAACCAAAATTCTAAGATTACTTTGTGATCTCTACTTGGGTGAGACTAGTCAATAAATGAGGTGATTATTCATATATCATTAATAAAAAATGATAGCTGATAAATTTAAGATCTCTACATTATAGCCTGAATCAGTGCATCTTGCATGTTTTTATTACGAAAATTCAAATTACAATTTATTTTGTATCGTTTATACAACTTGGTGTTGTATCAGTTCATATGTGTAAAGATAAATGCTTTCCAAGTACAACAGAAAATGCAATTAGCTTCGAGAATTGGATTTTCGAAGGTTTGAAAAACTGCAAGTCGTGCATAGAAGACGATAAAAGCGAAACATCTCAACCTCGAAACTGGAAAATTAGAATCCCAAACAGGGAACTTTCACTTAAGGAATAGCAAGAAAGCAAGCTAATCTCAACAAAAACATTTAACTGCAGACTACTCCTATTTTTATCCAAGCCAGTGGATATGAACCCAGGAAAGAGCAAATGCACAACAGGAAACATAGCCACTTGAACACCCCGCCCTATATTTCTCAAGTATTAAAAAAGGGCAGCATGGGGAAGAATCAGTTTGGAAGAACCATAAGCTACTAATATTTTATCAAAAATAATTGACCAGTACAGCACAAATATACCAAGGCTCCAAATAAAAAGACACAATGACAGCTTTACCCCAATCTTAAACTTTTAATTGGTAGTTATGTTGTGCAATAGTCTAATTTAAGATTAATTTAAGAGGATTCTAACCTAAAATGTTATCATGTTCAATTTTAAAAAATTGTGAAATTTATAATATTTACGGCTGCTATCAAAAAGTTGTATTGCGAGGGGTTGGGAGTTTATAACTGAAAATGTTATGAAAAATGTAACATGTTCGATTGCAACTTGTCTAATCTAAAAAGTTACTTTATCCCATATAAAAAACTATACTCTTGAATTTTTTTTTAACTATGGCAGATTTCTATATTTTTTATCTTATATTAATAAATTGTATTTTAGAATTTCATATCTTAATGTGTATTTTTAAGCCCTCATTTTTATTTTTTAATTTAACTTTAATATAATAGAATAATACCTATACTGTTAAGTTAGTATTAGTTGTTTTCTTCTATTTAGGGGTGTAAACGAGCCGAGTCGAGCTCGAGTATTGCTGAGCTCTACTCGACTCGAAAATTCTGAAATGGAGCACGACTCGACTCGAAAACTCACGAGCTTAAAATTTTTAAACTCGCTCAAACTCGAAATCCTGAACTAAAACTCGTGAGCACCTCGAAAATGCTCAAAATGAAAAAAAAAATCTTAAACTTAACTAGATTAAAGCCTCAAAATCAAACATGAACCTTAAATACATGAAAGTTTTACTGTGTTTTTTTAAAAAAAATCAACACATAAATGTTAATATTATTAATAATTTGTTTTTCTAAAAAATAAAATCTTAATATATTATATTTTTAAGCTGCTCACAACTTTTCGAGTCGAGCATCAAGTAGCTCGTTTCGGATCGTTAAGAATTCGAGTCGAGTCCGTTCAATCCAAGTATTTATCGAGCCTTGATCGAGTCGATCTCGAGTAGCCCGCGATCAGTCTCATTTACAGCCCTAGTTCTATTCAGTCATATCATCAAAAAGATATAAATAAGCGATTTCAATGATTATGATATTATTGTTATCTTTAGAGGTCCAAGATTTAATACCAAACATACAATATTATGAACGTTCAATTCAAATAATTGAGAGTTTTTGAATAGATGTTAACTTATGTTTATCTCAAATTAATTAAAAAATTAAAAAATATTTATTTATTTTTATTAGAATATTAAATATCAACGTCAGAAAAATATGAAGAAAAGGAAAAAAAAGATGAAATCGACATTTCAATGATAAAACCATATGATCCCTAACTCGACAAATTTAATCAAATTAACTAAATGTTTTTTTTATAAAATAAACCCTTAAATGACAAGTTTATGAGTGGGCATGTTGAAGCCTACCCAAGTGAGAGAGAATTTTAGAGCAAAACTAAGGTATGAGAGAGGAAGAGGGAGCTTTGGTAGGGCAATAGGGTTGCCATCAGGCGTGTACTGCGAGTTCACGCCACAGGCCACACCTCCAAAGCCCTTTGTCTCCACATGCCTTTTCTTTTCGGTCTTTCAATTTCACCATATATACCACTTGAAGCACCCCCCCCCCCCCCAAAAAAAAAAACTCTTCCACCCCAACTCCTCTCTCTTCCTCAAATCTCTCTCTTTTAACCTCCACGAGTTTCAGAGAGAAAACAATGGCTATCAGCAAGAAATCTAACAAGCTGCCTCAAACAGCAGTGATCAAGCAAATCCTGAGGAGATGTTCCAGCTTGGGAAAGAAGCAAAGCTATGATGAACAAGGTCTCCCTTTGGATGTCCCAAAGGGTCATTTCGTTGTATATGTTGGTCCAAACCGGAGCAGATACATTGTTCCCATCTCTTTCTTGACCCGACCCGAGTTCCAAACCTTGCTTCATCAAGCTGAGGAAGAATTTGGGTTCCATCACGACATGGGCCTCACCATTCCTTGTGATGAAGCTGTTTTCCAGTCTCTAACATCCATGCTCAGATGATTCAACTGCTTACAATTGTTTAGGGTTATTGAAAAAAAAACCTTCGTTGGGAGAAGATGAAGCTGCTCCATTGCTTCTCTCATTACATTTTTCTCCTCTCCCTTTTTATTTTTTGCTTGAGTTGTTATGTATAACTCTGACCCAAAAACCCATGAAATATTATTTAATTTATCTGGGTTTTTTAGATTTCTAAATCTGAGGAAGTTTGAAAATTTTCCTCACTGAGGTGAAGTACCAATGTAGCCTATGAGAGAACCGTTTAATTTTCTTTCTACTTTAATTTCTTCTGCATCGTTGTTCTCAGTAGGCGCACGTTCACTAGTTTTCAAGGCTTTGTCTCTTAGCTTTTCATTTTTTTAATGGTTCTGGTTAACTCGACGGTTGAGCCGTTAACGACTGTTATCAACCAGACAGCTCATCGGAATGTTTTGGCAGAGATGAAGGTAAAACATTCATCAACAAAAACAAAACCCAGCCAAGTAAAAACCCTTGAGAATATGAAAACAAAGGTCAAAGGGTTAAAAAAGCAATGGGTAACTTTGGTTTTGTAAGCTGTAAACTCTGGTTGAAACACCAGATGCTGGTGGTTGTTTTTTTCCCTATTGCAGTAGTACATTTGTAAGGGAAAGAAGCTAAAAAGTAGTTTCCAATTTTGCATTGGTCATTTCCAACTTACAATGAGCTCTTTTCCCCAACATATTGCAGGCATTGGAGTCCGTGAATTATTTTTTTCACCCATTCCATCAAAACTTCACGCTTTTGTTTTTTAAACAGATCACACTTTGAATCTGATGTTTTCCTTTTAGACTAGAAAAATGTTCATGCAAATTGATCCAGGCCCCCACAAACAGGATAATCTAGTGTATATGGAGATGATGATCACCTCAAAGTTAAATTTCTTCAAGTTTATAAAGTTAAAATTGAATCAGAAAATGAGAAAAAAAACTCTAATCCGTGCAATGGGAGCATGATGGGATTAGAATCTTTATGAAGATCATGCTTTTAGGGCTCCCCATTAAACTGCACTCCATGGTTGGCGGTCCATTTCTAATCTATTTTATTTGTTGGACCACACATCCATCCCAAATAAATATAAAATTATTACCGTACTGACCGGACACTACCACCCTTACGTGGCAAATTGCCTTTTTGGCTTTGCTTATTTATAGAGCACAAGGTTCTTAATCTTGAAGTCGTGATCGAATTTCACGGAGGGTATTTTATAATTCGGAGGTCTTCTACGAAGTTGCTCTCAACCTGATGTTGGAGGCAGCCTACTATCTTACCTCTCTTACCCGTTACATATGGGAATAAGGAACAATCATTTTATTTGTAAAAAAATGGGTTTAAACCAAGTTGGGGATTTCCTTATTTAAACCAATAGGTTCAATTTATCCCATGTTGAATAATATTTAATAAATTATAAAAATCATTCATAATTAATGGTTACTTCCCAATATTCAACAACAAAAAATAATTCTAAAATAATTTTTAGTAGTTTGATCTTTATTGTTGTAGTTTGTTTATTGATACAGTTAGATCTTTTCGATTTTTTTATATATATATTAAGTTAAAAGTGATTACAAAATACTATCTGTCGTAAGTACTCTCAACCATTTGACAATAAAAGTAATTATAAAATATTATCTGTCGTAAGTACTCTCAACCATTTGACAATAAACGTTCAATCACCTTCTAGGAATAACATTTTTATTGTATGGTCTATGTATGACATAAATGACTAGTTTTTAATATTAATAGTTATATAAAATATCATAATTATGTGTTTAATTTTTATTTATAATTATAAACATTTATTATAATTTTAAATATTTCATATTTTTCAATAAGACGAGCCATCTCGGTTAGCATAAAACAAATTAAATCAAAGATCGCGCAGTCGTTGTAAGATATAAACCACTTTGCTGAATATTGTAAAAATTAATACAATTTATTAAATAATTTTTAATTCAGAATTAATCATTATCTTTATCCCAAAACTTCTCAAATTTTACCTCTCGAGCATTGAGAAAGACATTTTAAATAGTTTTCTTTTTCTTTTTCTTGAGTTTAGTAATCTTGAATATTGAAAAAGCGTTTCATATTAAATAATAACAATTTAACAAAATCCTTAAAAAGATTAAGTTGGTTGATTTTTGTTTTGGTACACAAATTTTAAGGGTGACTCCCAGTTCAGGGCATATCTAAAATCCAATTGAAATTTACATAAAACTTTACAAATTACTCACCAAGAGTGATGATAGAATTCGAACTTAGTCTTACAAACATAAATTCTTAAATCTCAATCATTTATGTCAACACTTGCTATCTTGGTTGATATTTGTTCATTTGTTTCTTTCAAAATCTGCTTCAGAAAACAATAAAATAAAGAAAACCTTGACAGTACATTTTTTTTACCATTGCCGTTGTTTTACTCAAAGCCACACGACCTTGCTTTGTCTATACATAAACCAAGGTTTAACATTAATTAAGATTTCTCGACAACATAAACCAGATTTACGGTGTCAAGTTTCAAAGTTGGGATTTACAGGTTAGCTACTTGATCACCCACTTTCTTAATTAATTCTACTCATTCAACACAATTTCAGCCTCGTTCTCCTCCATCTTTTTTTTCTTTACGTTAATTGAATTACATTAATAAACCTTATAATCTTGACTAGCCATGGGTTTAACTCTAAATTTAAAATGGTTTTCAGTATTCTTAGCTAAAACATCAACAAATAATATAATAATGAGGGGCCAACCTTGAATCAAATTCATGAAATTAATACAAGGTTGAATCAAATGTAGTCTTTTGTCTTTCATTTATGTTATATTTCTGGAAACGTAATTCAAAATATTATATCCTTATAGCTATAATTCCGAATGTTATGATCATATTTGAAGGGAGTCTTTTGTAAAGGAAATGTTCTGACCGATCGAAAAATACCCGATAAGACCTTCATAAGATAAATTTTTTCATTTTACTCCCTCCCTCTCTTCTTTATATATTAAAAAAAACAATTACCCATTAATCATTGTATCACCATTGATCATGATTCTTTATTTAAATTGAAAGGAATGAACCACCAATGACCAACATAATTCATTTATTTCAATTAACAATTAATGTGATAAGTGTGAAGAATATCTCAAACCAAAAAAAATAGTCATAATAAATCCTCAAGAACCATCCTTAAAAGTCATCATGAATTTTCAGAAATCATTTCATAACCAATCAGAACGGATACCTTTTTTATTTCTCTCTCGTTACTATTACAAATTATATAATTTTATAACATTAGCTTCAATATAATGTTAATCTTAATTAATTAGTACGTAAGTGTGCAACCCGCTAATACTATGGGTACTCATGAGACGAGTCCTGTTTGATACAAGGTCATGTATGATATTAATGCCATATAATCTTGATTAAAATTTATTTAGAATATATCTCAAAATTTGACAAAACATACTTATATTTGTTAATGATTTAAGTATATTTAAATTTGTTCATATTTTATTTAAATTTTCAATGTTATTTTTATTTAATATTTAATAAATTTATATATATAATCTTATATAACTGGAAAAAAAAGGTAGATCAAACTCCAACCTTAATTATTGGAATACAAGCTCAACCTATATTCTAAATTGACCTAAAACTTTTTGTTCGCACTCATTTTTCAAGTTTAATGTTTTATTCAAATTCTTTTAAAGATTTGAGTACTGACGGTTCATGAAATATTTTTTAGGGTTAGCACGTATATATTAATAATATAAACTTTTTATATGAAATAGGTAAAAATAAAATTCTAGGATAGACATCAATAATAAAATAGATAATTAATATAAAGAAATTCGGATTTCGGTGCCTATTCTAAACAAATCTTGCATCCGCCACTGAAGATTGATAGTCCAAACCTCGAAAAGATCTAGAAAATATTTATATCAAGATGATAATAATTATAAATATGAAATCAATAATGCTAAGTTTGAATGCCACTCGTTAGAAGAGTTCGACCATAAACTCTACTAGGTTTCCCCAAAAATAATTCAGTCACAATAACATAATATACATGGATAGAATACTATTATATTATATAAAATTCTTTAATTTTATACAAATTTAGAATCATTGAATAAATGAAAATATATTACTTAAACTAACAGTAAGAAAAGAGAAAATATTCACTGAACAAAAACGAGTAGTTAATCTCAACCTAGTTTCACTCATTCAATGATTTTAAATCTATGTAAAACTAAAAGAATTTTACACAGTATAAATGGATCATAACCCATATTATAAGAATATTGGTTAAGCTAAAAATAGAAAGGGTTTATGGATTATAATTACTAGCTAGGACTCAACGTGACTGCATCAATTCAAATGGTTACAATGTCGCATTAGATTCAAATATTCTGGATGATTGAAAAGCATTATGTTTTTTCACATGCTAAATGTTGATATACACAAATTAATCACCTTTAAACTGCATGCATGGATTAACTACTATACAAACTTACAAGAAAAACAGTGTTTGAAACAAACAAAAAGAAAAAAAAAGATTTCAATCGTTATATATATATATATGGAGTGAATATAAGGTAGTATATGTTGAAAAACTCTCAACTTTTGACATTGCACGTTTATACCCTTGCATACACGGTGTTTAAACCTGAAGTCTCAAAGGATAACATCAAATCTCCTAACCATTGAGATCGCTTGATTCGTGCAAGATTTCAATGGTATTATATGAAAATTTTTATGTATAAATAAACCCCTACACCCTATATATATTACCTCACAAGATTATGTATGATATTCTAACCTTTATTTTGCTTTCATATTGCTATTTGGGTGCAGGCAAGAGATTGATTTTAATGGTTGAAACGAAACTTTCATTTCCAATCTGATCTATGACCCTACGTACTATCAAATCAAAAACCATTTAAAGGCAAAGTTTTTGTCATTAAAAAGACTATGTAAATGGAAATGGAAAATTTGAATACCATTCTAGAAGATGAGGACCAAATTGTAGTAAAAGATAAGATCTTTTTCCAAAATGTGAACTTTTAATTTTGCGGGGAAAAAAATCTGAATTATTGAAGGAGGAGAACCATAAATGTATGTACGTAATAGGTATTCATCTTCTGGCCGCCACAATATTGTTTAGTGTAGGCTGCTCCACTCAATTTTGTTATTACACAGCTTTTGAATTGTCTTTCTATGAAGTGCTTTTCAAAATTTTCGAAGTCAGGATTTTCAAGGAAAGCTCCCTTTATGTTGGGAGGTTGGCTGTGCCGTAGGGTATACTCATGTCGGGGGTTCAAAAACATGTTGGTGTTTATTATATATATATATATATTGGAATGATTTTTTATATATCAATCTTTCTATTTTGAGTTATGGCCACCGATCATATTATAAATTATTGTTTGATGAGTAAAAATATACCGTTAAAATTATATTTTTGTTTTTTTTTAGTGAATATATTCTTATTTCATATTGTTAATCTAAATCATCTATTTTTACTTATCTAACAATCTTAAATCTGTGTAAAATTAAAAAAATGCATTGTATATATATTCCTTTATATATGGATGTAGAGGAAGGAGATATGGATGGAGAAATAAGGGTTTAAAAATCCCTGTTCCTTTTCAAATAATAAACCAAGTTTTCTATTAAATTTTTTAATTAACGAAATTTATCTTTAATTATTGTTGTGTTAAATTCATCCTTAAATTTATTAATATAAAAATTATGATTTAATAAATGTTTTTGATTGATTTTTTATAGAAAATTTTTAATTCTTGATGAATCCTTGAGGAAAAAGTTGCCAAAAAATGATTAATACATGGTTTTAGTATTATAGAGCAGAGTAAAGCAATCATTATTTGACAATGAACATTCATACCCTCATATATATAATGCTCGAATCTAGGACCCCAAAGGATAACAATAACTTTTAACTAATAAGATCGTTTGATTAATGTCATGTATATGTATTGAATACTTGTTTATCAAAAGAAAACATAAAATACATAAATAATTATGCAAAAATTAAACGTCTGAGAAGAGGTTTAGAAATATTAGATATAATTGATGGCAATGGTTCAGCCGTGTAAGAGGTTCAAAATTACCTAATTTAATATATTTGATTTGTCGATTCGTCAACTCGTATAAAAGTAATTGAGTATTTTTTTAAAATATTTAAATTTTCAGGTCCGGTACCTAACTCACTAATTTTCATGGGTCATGGGTTGTAATTTTCAGTCTGTTGAATCCACGGGTACCCGATTCTTTATTTTTTATTATTTTATATTAGGTTTTCATTATCGATTCTAAAATTATTTAGTTTAAATACTCTTAATTATTAAACAAGAAACGTTCATACCTTTGGTGTTTGTGGTACTCTAATCAGAGACCTCAAGAGATAACAACAAGTCCTTTAATCATCGAGGTTGTTTGATTCGTGCTTAAATTCTAAATTCTTAAATTTTATGTTTGAATTATATAATTTGAAATTCCAAATTCTATGTGTGAATTATGTATTATGAACTTTTTAAAAAGTTTATGTTTTTCATGTGATTTTTTCATAAGAGTAATATACATTAAAAAGCTAAAAATACATATATAAATTGAATACTCATGACCCAAAAATATATGTATCTAAGTTTGCAAATATTCAACTTACGAGTACTTTTTATTATTAATCTAGGGTGATTACAAGATAGTATTTGTTCTAAAAATTCTCTACCATTGAACAATGAAAGTACAAAAATTTTTACAGTCTCTGGTGCTCGAATTTAGAACCTCCTGAGATAATAATCATTCCCCTAACCACTAAAATAAATTGGTTCGTACTAATATTTAAATTTAATGGGCGAGATATGAATCAGTATCCTAAAAGTCTAAATATTTAATATTTGAAATATCTAAAATAATAGGGGTATCCAATTATGAACACCTTATTCAATGGGAGCTGAGTTCAAAAGACAAAAGGTTTGAGAGCTGAAGTGTGAGCCCAAGAGGAACAAAATCTGCACTGCAATTTGCAAGCCAATCAATATGAACATCTGCTTCTCCCATCAAACCCAATAGCACAGTAAATGGACCTAAAACCCAACCCCATTTAACCTAATCTGTCAAAACCCTCCATTTTCATTCCGCTTTAAGTAGTTATCTACTATGCATTCCATGTATATGTATAATTAAAATTTTTATTTCAAATTTTAAATTATATACAATAATATATATGATTAGATAATTGGTTTAGTGTAAAGATTTAGCATCTCATGTCACTAAATTAATTGACATTTGATTAACTATCTTACTTAATTGTTTGATGATAGAAATATTATCTTACTATGGTTATATCACACAATCAAAACTAGGTGCAGTATCCAACCAATAATAAATTCTAGACTCACTGTGCAAGCTCACTGAAATCATACAGTTGAGAACAAAAAGTCAAATTATTTTCTGCTTTTGGAATGCTTGAAATGAATAAATATATTAAGAGTAGACGGCTCAGTGAAACTGCCACGTACAGTAATAATATTAAAAATATTTCACTTGCGCAAATAACAAAGGGAATTCAAATGAAGGTTAAAATGAAAAACCTTATACATTCATTACTTACAAAATCACCGATCACTTCACAATAACGAATATGGGGTTTCCAAACTTTGGTTCCTCCACTTATTAGTATGTCTAGAGGCCACTTAATGACCATTCTTCCCTTTGGAGGAAAAGAATCTGCTAATGCCTCGAGATTGTTTCTCCGGTATTGGCGTGGAAGAGCAAGATGAGGAACTCGATATAGTAGACCGGAGATTTGAATTGTATGAGTTGACCGGTGATCTCAAAAGGTTTGCTTCAGTTTCAGAAGGGCTGCATGGCGTGTTAAATGATGACTCCATGGGCGACTCTGGACCCGACCTGCTTGCATTGCCGGAACCAGCAGTGTCTATCTCTGCCTGATTTAAATCATGCAAGTTCACGTTGCTGGTAGTGGTTTCATCCTCGCAGAAACCTTCGACATTTGGGGTCCTCTCGTTGTATCCCTTCCTTTCTGTCTGAGAACGGAGAGAATTCAATTGCTTGCCAAGAAGGAATATGGTTTCTTGACACTCGGCTAGTTTCTTAGCTGCATCTGCTAACTCGTTCTCCTGTGATCAACAGAAATAATCTTAAGTCGGACAGCAAGCAAGAATCGGGACGAGCAATGTGGAAGTACAAATGACCATACAGATAACATACGACTTTCCGTTATCATATTCAACACCAACTTTAGTAGCATAGCAAATCTGTTCTACGCTCCTTGTTGGAATGACAGTTAACTTATATGTAAAATCAAATATAGCCTTACCTGCTTGCTCTTGATGTCGGCATCTGCTGCTGAAGAACAGGCAGAACAGTTCTCATTCCTAAGAATCATGGAAAACAATTATGCTAGAAATAATTATATATGTAAACACACTAGCTTATAAAATCACACAACAATTAGTTGATAAACGGTTCTACATGGTATGAAATGAGTTTGATGCTTACCTTTGCAGATGCTCTTCAAGTTCCTTGCATTTGGCCAAAGCATCATGTTGGCTTTTCTTTTCATCTTGAAGCTCATTTTCAAGAGTATCTATTTTTGCACGGAGAAGGTTCACCTCAGTATCTAACTCCTCTGCCCGAGTTTCAAGTGATCTATAAGACTCCGCCATGCATTTCAGCTGTGTCTCGGCCAAGCTGTTTGATTTCTGAGCAGACACCAATTGAGATTTAGCTTCTGTTAGAAGCAGTTCTGTTTCATGTAATTTAGACTTGGTCATCTCCAGGTTTTCAGTACATTGAGAAAAATCCATTACCAAGCTTTCTTTCTCCAACTTCAAATCCTTGAACTCTTCCGATGAGAATTTGCTCAATGTTTTCGATTCAAAATCTGAGATCAGGTGTCCATCATTGGGAACCTCCGGATTGGAAGTTGGACTTGAAATATGGGCACAGCTGTTTTGATATATTCCTCCCGATGAACCTTTTTGAGTAACTTTATTTTCTGGTAAAGCCACCTTATCTATGCAATCAGGACTACTTATTTCCACTTCATTACCCTTGAAGCCAAGGACATTGAACCTTAGTTCACTGGCCTTTTCTAAAACAGAAGAAAGATTGAAAACAAAATCTTCCAAACTTATATTGCTGAATAAGGCCTTATTGTAGGTGACAGAGAACTCACTGATTTTTTGGCTTAGTTCATTGCCATCAAAAGATATATCATCAACTGCCCTTGCTTCATCTCCCAGGAACAATACAAAGTCATGAATCTGAGATATCGCAGCTGATAATTCTTGACTTAAAGTTTGCACACTTTCTGAAGTTAACTTGTCACCTGGAGAGAGAGCAATTTCCTTCTCTGCAGTCAAGCTACCATCTTCAGGATAAACTTGCCCATTGCATGTGCCATCAGAACCGTGTGATTTGTCAGAGACACTATTTACAGAGTGCTGGCTCAGGCTGCCATTTATATCTTGCACAACGCATTTGATCTCCTCCAGAATTTTCTGCAGATCAGCATCATTAGATATTGATTCAAGCACCATAGAAAGCCTTGTTCGAAGCTTCATAACCAGCAATTTGTCTGCATCAGATTCAGGATACACTACGGACGAATCCATTTTAGACAATACATGATTTTCTGAGGGAGATAGATCATGCTGCTTTTCAGAAGCACCACCATTAATGGTTTCAATTATCTTATTATCATTGCAGCCTGAAATGCTGACAGCACCAAGTGCAGTTGTGTCAATTGAAGAACAAGCCAACTTCTCCATCTCAAGAAAGTCATCCATAAGGTCCAACTGCTTTGAATTTTCAGTTTTGTAGGTACTCTTTTCCTTTTTGAATTGAGGAAGCTCGGAGACTAAAGCTGTTGCCCATGATTCGGCACAACTTCTGTCGTCATCGTTTCCATCTTCAGATACAGAAGTAACACTTGGTGGAGTGCTAGCATTTTGACTCGGGTAAACTTCTGCAGGAATCTGAACAATTGCTTTCGAGTGACTTCTTTGTTGGTTGCTGACGGCAAGTTGTGCTTCTAAACTCTGAAGCTTGCTGGATGTCTTAGCACACAGACTCCTGGAAGCTAGTAGTTCACTGTTACGCTTTGCCAAAGCTTCTTTCAGCATCTTTGTTTCTTCTTCCATTGCAAATAAATGTTCGGTCAGAAACTCGTTCTCTTTATGGAATCTCTGCACATTGTCAAGAGAAAAGTCGCTCACAGGGGACATGTGTGGAGTGGAAGGCCGGAAAGGAGATCTCTTTAATCGTGTATCTCCATAATCACGTCCTAAACTCTCAACCTCTAGCTTCATTTGGGCGAGTGCAGCTGGACCTGGCAACTTTTTCCGCACAAGGCCGCGCAATCTTTGGCATTCTGCTTCTAGCTTTGCTATCTTTTTGACACCCTCCATATGCTGCTTGTTAGCTGATTCTGCAGTCCTCATGCTCATGTTCTTTTCTTCGTTACGGATATCTATCTCTTTGGAAACAACATGGAGTTCATACTTCAGCGAATTAATTTCCCTTTCACATGAATCAATGCTACCCTTCAGACGCTCGATCTGAGCCTCAGCTTGTGATTTTTCTTCACTAATCTTGATCAGCATGTTAGAACATTCTTGCAAAGACCTTGAAATTGCAGTGTTTTCAGCTTCGGCCTTGAGGAGCTCTTGGTCTAAATTAGCTAACTTAGCTTCAAGCTCAAGCTTAATCTTTTCACATTGCTTGTTTTTGCTAACTACCACATCTTGCAACTTCTGCTCATGTTCTTCCTTCAGATTTCGGATTTGCCGCATGCATTCTTTAAGAGCACCATCCAAATGTGATGCCCTATCTTCAGCAGTGAGCTTCAAAAGCGTGACCGATTCCGAGTGATTTTTCAATGCCAAGGCCTCGGCTTCAGCCTTTTCCCACCCTACACCGAACCGACAGCAAAAATTAAATGGGTGACCTTTTAGTTTTTCATTAGCCTTTGCAGGTATGAGCATAGACTAACCTGAGATAGCTTCTTCAGCAACTTTAGTGTGCTGATTCACCAGGTCTTCCTTGGCAGAAATCTCTGTATTGGCCGCATCGAGCTTTTCATTCAAGTCCTTAATCTCTTCCTCCAATGACTGAACTTGTTCCTCGTATGTTTTCACTTGATTCTCCAAACCGGTGAGATGTGAATACAATTCAACAGAAATTTGAACGTACTTTGGTTTTTTGTGGGCATCCTGTTCAACAAATAATATCCACGATAAGGTATCAAATAAAATAGCTCAACATATGTACTTTGAAATGAAAATCCAGAATGAAAAGTGTACCTCATCGCCTATAGGTGTTGCTGAAGCCAAATTGGCAGCAGCCTCATCCACCACAACAGCAGCAGCTACGACAGCAGAAGCAGCCTTATTAGTTTTATCAGATGATTTTTTCTTCCAAGGCCAATGGCGATCCATCACTTAAATCCCCTTTATTTCCTAGATCAAGAAGATTATACAATATGTTAAAAAGAAAAAGAAAAAACAACATAGTAAAGCAACTACATCTTAAACACCAAGTTAAGCAATTTTATGGAGAAACAGTATCTGGTTGATTAACAGCTAATGGCATCCAAAATGGGTCTTGAAAACACACTGATTCAGGAAAATAAGCTAAACATCCTTAAGGACTTTAGAAAAGCCCCTAAAGACCGATGCTAAGTCTTAGAAATTCATAATTAAGGAGAAACTTCAAAAAAGAAAAATTAGGGAGCTGTTCTGTAGATATATGATACAAGAAGTTGACAACCGATCATGAAATTAGGTTAGTAATCGTCTCTTATTTGATTGTCACAAAGAACTCTAAGAAACAAGTATTTTTTTCCTTATCAGTTCAACATTTCCCTTTTTTTTCCGCTCTGGCTTAGATCGTCAGTGAACTAGAATTCATATTGACCAAGTGAAGTACTAACACAGCTCTAAGAAATCGATATATTATTTTCTTTCAGCCTACATTTCCTCGGCCACCAAACAGAATAATGTGGAGGAAGAAAAAAAAACTAGCAAACTTGAACAAGCAGTAATATCGTAAGTGTTTTTAAGTATTTCAATTCAATCGGATTAGATAGCATTTTGAAGCCAACCAAGCGGATCAATGGCTCCACTTCAAATCCATAAGATCTAATCAAAGAGCTAAAGTTCTTAGAATCAAAAGCTCATTTCATATGAATTATACCGGAGATAGATTTCGATTGAAAATGTAAAAGCAAAAAAAAATGAGTGGGTGAAAAGGAATTTACTCGGGAAACAGAGCTAGAGAATGATAACCGGAAGAAATCTGGAAACAGGAAACCTCACCGACAAAACAGATGAGAAAAACAATTTATAAAAAAATCATTGATAGAAAGAAAACATTTTACTACGCATAAAAGCCAGACACCTTTCATCGGATTATAAAAAGAAGAAAACAGAAACAATGTGCAGAAATGGAAGCAAAGTCGGAATCTATTTCCATTTTCACTCTCTTCGACCTTACATTCACAACCAACATTGACGCTATAAAAAATCAACGAAACAAATGAAGAAAAAAACACGTTATTGCATAAGCTTGACTAACCTCCAGAAATGTAGCTTTGTAAAGGGAGTTGGATTCAGAACAGGAAAATTATGTTAGATTCAAAGATTAAGATCCAAAATTCCAGTGTTTTTCTCTTTTAATCGTGAATATTAGAGGTTTTGAGAAAAGATAAAGAAATGGTGATGGCAATGGCTGGCGGTGGAGGAAAAGGAGGAGGAAGTGGTGGAGAAGTGGGCAAGCTGTAAAATATTCTGCTGGAATTCGGTGTCACTTAAAAAAGGCTACTCCTTTGCAAAAATTTCTCAGACCAATCACCTTTTAATATACTTCGATTTCGTACATTAACGTCAGTTTTTATTTATTTTTTCCCCAGACTATGTATATTTTTTTAAAGAATATAAAATAACGTAATTTCCTTTCGGGGTCACTAATTTTATAAAGATCTAATTTAAAATTAAATGTTCAAATTATATTTAAATTTAATTTTAGGTGTTTAATTTTTTTTATTAAAAATAGGTGTTTAATATTTTTACCGTTACACTTTTAGATGTCTAGAATGTTAACATTATTAAATTCGACTGGTTAAGTAACACGTGTCAGACATATGAAATTTTAAATTTTTTAATTAAAATTTATAAATTTTAAAGCTTGATACGTGTCATTTAACGACCAAATTTAACGGAAAATGCCTAAAAGTTTAACGTCGAAAATGTTAGACACTTTTTTTTAACGAAAAATTCTTTAGGCACCTAAATTTTAGGCATAGTTTAAACATTTTTACATTAAGCCTTTTATAAAACATATCTCTTATTTAAAACATTAAAAGTATATAATACTCTAATTTGGTATTTGTGTATAGTTTTAAAAAAAATTCTAATTTTTTATTTAATTTAATTTATAATTTGTTTTTAATCTTTTATTCATGTAGTATTTTGAGGTGATGTCATGAGACAATATTAAAACAATACCTCATTAAAAAGATTATAAAAGTGAAAAATTATCAAATTTATAATTAGGATAAAAAAAAGTTTAAAAATTATAAAATATACAGATTACACATTTTTTTGGATAATAATAGCCAATTTTATAATACTTCAATAAAAATTTGTATATATTATCACGTTTTTGTTATTTTATATATAAAAACTTTGGAACCGTGTTTCATTTGGTTGCATACTACTAAATTTAATTTGACCAGAATTGTTACGAATGGGACGAAATTGCCATCTAAAAAAGTAGAGGATGACAAGAATGGCCTGTACTCATAAACATAAATTTTCTTATAAAATTACTGATACAAGAAAAAAAAGAATGCAATTATGATTGAATATGATATCTCGCTTTCATATTAATAACTGTATATTGAATATTCCCGTGATTAAAGGAAGTATTATTTTTTATGTCTTGAGTTTATATACATTATTTAAGAACGATTATAAATATATATTACCTCATAATTATAACATATTATTAAAAAATAGTTTTACCATAAAATTAAATGATATTTAGTAATGGTTGGGTTATTGTGTATGTCATTAGGGCTGAGCAACGAAACCGAAAAAACCGAAAAACCGACACGAACCGAGTAAAATGGTTCGGTTCGGTTCGGTTTGACCTTATACGGTTCGGTTTTCGGGTTAGTTTAATTATTCAAATCTTCTAATTCGGTTCGGTTAGGGTTTTCCATATGGAATCCATTTATTCCATTTGAACCAAATAAGAAATTGGGTCAGTCCAGCCTGCTACTCACTTGGACATTTACCCTTACGGCCTTACCCATAAGCGATATTGATGTAATAAAAAAACCTAAATAACTCGGCCCTCACTCTTCTCCACTCTTCTCCAGCCCCTCGACCCTCACTCTGCCGTTCTTGTCTTCTTGATTCTGCACTATCCCCAGTCTCGACAGAGCTTCAAATCTTCAACTGCAACGATTCGACAAAGCTTTATCTCTTTCCCTTCATCTTGGCATCTTGAACGTGATTTCATAAGGTAAATAACTCGAACATATTTTTGGTCTGTTAATTTTGGGGCGTGAATTTAGAGTTTTTTTTTGTGGGTTTCAAAGTTTGTAGGTCGTAATATTTGTTTTCCCCGCTTCTATCCTTGTTAATTCTACTTATTCGAGTTTGTATTGCTTCGATCTTTACTATTTTTTTATCTTGCTTTTTGCATATCAATTGTGATTTTTCGTATGAAATCAAAATGTTATTTTCATTGGTTGAAGAACTATGCTAAATCATGGTTACACCTTTACTCTCTCTCATGCTTGGATCTGTTTTCCTTTCTTTATTTTTAACTACCCTTGTTAGATCAGTGTGATTGAGCGTTCTGATGAGATTCAAGTGTGCTTACCTTTCTATTACCTTGTGATGGTCTTGGCTTGATCATGTACTCAACCTAATATTTGTTCGTTAGCTATGTGCTATAATAATGAAACTTTGACATCTCCCACAACACCATTGTGTCTTGGATAGTGACTCAACACCGGAAATAATAGTTTAAAACTGTCATTGCGTGGTGTTTGTCTAAGATTTTATAGGATAAAAATGTCGCAATCTTTAGTTGGCAAGCATTCTCGACTACATATTAAAAGCCTCAGGTCTACCCGGGTTATGGTGTGCTTTTCTTTTCCCTTTTGATTCAAGTGGCTATATATCTGTCACAGATGCATTCAATTTCAAAGAGTTTCTTAAGTTTTGAATTCCGAAAGCTTATTTATTGCATTTCAATTTTAAACTTTCATGCTTATTCACCATAGTTCTTCAATTATCCATCTATTCTATGCTCATTTTCTTGAGGTATTCATGTCCTTCACATATGTCCTGGATATGATATGATAGTATTATTCTTCATATACATGAAAGATTTTAGAAAATATGAAAATTAAAACTTAGTGTAGGAAACAAATTTCCAGGAAAGTTAACCCGGTTTAAAATAGAATTCCACATCTAGTGACCACAAAATTAACTTTACATGAAACAAAATCAGGGGGCCAAGGGTTGTTTTGGTATTTAAGTAGGTCTATCAGTTATCAATCCTTTTCATATTAATAATATTTTCTTCAAACCAAATAAAAAAGCACCAGCTGGATTGATAAAGAGATGTTGCTAGATGTGGTACTACCATTTCCCAGTCCTTATGCAACCTAGTCTCATTCCCGCTTATCTCAATTTGATCTCTAAGTCAAACTTCTTGTAGCTTAATGAACCCAGTGACACATGCCATGTTAAGTCCTTACAAAGAATGTGGATAATTTAAGAAAAAAAAATGCTAAAACTGATATTGAATTTAATTGTTTCAAACATGAAGCGAAAAGTCACGGGTTTATTCTATCAGATTGGGGGCCACAGATAGAAATGTAAAACCCACTTCTTTAAATTGCTCACTTACCAGTCCCATGATTACAAATTTATTAATAATTCACATAATTTAATTAAAAAAATATTACTTATATTTATCCTTTTAAATAATATCATTTAACTCATTATTAATATATAATTGTATAAAATTGCTTTACATTAAATCTAAATAGAATATTAATAACTAAACTTATGCTTTTCTTTTTTTAAGATAACAAACCACAACCGAATTGTTAACATAACTCATCCATTTGCTTATCTCATAATTCATGTTTTGATTCAACTTCCTCTATTTGCTTCAACTTTCTCATTCTTCAATATTTTCTTGTCATTGTAAACTGTTTTTTTTCCTTCAGAAATGAAGTCTTCATCATCTAATGCTACTCCTATGTTTTGTGCTGATGCTGAGATTCCTTGTGATACTACTGTCAAAACTGATCAATCAGTTGCAGCTTCTTCAAGCATCCCATCGAATCTTCAGCAGCCTTTAAAAAAAACAGGAGGCAAGTTAGGTACTACAAGTTCTATAGTTTGGGAACATTTTACAAAATTACCTTGTGTAGTTGGAGATATTCC